ATGCAGATACGTACACAGCGATGTAGAGACACTGAAAGAGACAGGCCTCTTGTGGGGCAGCCCCGCCCTGTCAGAAAGGGGAAAGAGAGCGATGGGGAGGACCCCTCTTCTTACAGCAGCAGGAGAGGAAGGAGGGAGGGGAGAGGATGGTGAGCTTGAAGCAGGAGGACTCAGATGTGGCCTAGCCTCGGCCCAGATGGGAGCTGCCTGGGTAGGCAGGGCAGCCCCAGACCCAACCAGCTCCAAGGGCAGAGACAGAGACCCCAGAGCCAGGCAGAGTTGGGCAAAATGGCATAAACTCCAGGTGGGAAAGAACCTCACTAGTCGCCCATTTGACACTCCATCTTGGCTCCTGCCCAAGCCGCCTCTGCCTCTCCTTGTATACCTCCTGCAGCAAGGAGCCCCACTACTTCGTCAGGCCCCGAGTCAGCTGCCCTTTTCTGCTGACTTCCCTTCAGCCTTTTCCAGCCCTGAGTCCTCACTTCTCAAAGCCAGGCTTTTCCAGTTTCTCCAGCTCTTCTTCTTAAAGCTGCCGTAGCCTCAGCTGGGCTCCAGCCTTCCCTCTAAAGTTATGGAGCAGATATAACCCAAATTTCCCACTAACATCAGCTAGCTAAAGTGAGCGGGCCCATCACCTCCCCTGCTTTAGGTGCCCTGCCTCTGTTAATGTGGCCCGAGATCCAATGAATGGTTTAGGCCACATAACCTTGGAAACTCAGCCTGCTCTTCTGTAACCGAATCCCCTGACTATCACACACATATGGCAGCTAGCCACATCTCTCTTCTGTATGTGTGTGTGGGTGGGGAGCCGGGGGAGTCGGCCCTGTGCCTCTCACTTGAGGTATATGGACCCTTGGGGCCTCTCCCTGTTTGGTGTTGGCCCATTAACCAGTCCTGCTTGGATGATACATTCCAACCCACTTCCAGCCCCGTTTTGCACGCTGGAAGTCAGAAGCGCTGTATCAACCCCATCCCCAGTCCACACAACCATAACCCTGCCAAAGAGAAAGTGAAGTCGGGCTGATGCGCCCTGCTCTCAGTGACCCCTTGCTGGGTCCTGGAGGTCACTGTGTCCTCCACCATGTCCTGACAGCCCTGCCTTTAATTCTAACTCAGAGCCCTAGGCTGCCACACTGAAGTCTGCCCGTCTAGCCTTTGAGCAAGTAGGACGATGGCTGACTCTGCCTTCGGCCCCCTCTGCCTAGCCCTCAGAGTTTGCCATCCTGCTCTGTGGTTCTTCTGCTCTGTCTGCTGGGGAGGCCTCAGTCCCTCCAGAGTGACCTGGGCCCATTTCCCCACCGCTGCTGGCTCCTGTGCTCAAACCCCACCCTGCTCCTCCCCAGAGGAGTCGTCAGAGCAGGGATGCGGCTCAGCATCAGCTCTCTGACCGAGCAGCCAGCCTGGCCCTTCTGGGCTCCTGGTCCACACAGAAGGATGTCAGCTGATATCCTCAGGCCTTCTGCACCATCTCCTGGTCCTGGGCCACCACTGGTCCCTCAGGCAGCCATGCTGATTCCTTGAGGGATGCTGTCACAGAATCATGGCAGGGACCCTGGGGTCAGGGCCGGGGCTGGACACCCCAGCCCCCAGGAGACACGGCCTTCTCTCCCAGACTCTTTAAGTT